CAGAGTTTTACAAATTTGTTTTTAGATAAGAGGTAAAATAAAAATATCTGCTGGTCTCTGTTGGAAATGTTTTTGGGGGGAGTTCAGTGACCAGGCAAAGATGGGTTGTAGGGAATCTAAGTGGAAGCCTCAACACAAGATGACTGGAAGATGTCTGGAATCCCTGAGATCCAATGTACATATCCTTTCTCTAAACCCTGTGATGTTAAGATGGAAAGAACTTGAAAAACTGGGGTGACATCTTATACTATATGTTTGGAAGAATTTCAGATTCCTATCACTTATCTTTCAGAACTAATGGATATTTACAGTGATTAGATAGATGCTTGTGAGGCTATAATCAATAACAGCAACTGTAGAGGAGCTTATTAGAAGTTAAACAATGTTCCTTAATTCAAGGATGGGACTATTCATTTCATAATACATTGGAGATGCAGTTGAAATGACTAGGAAATTGGTGATCTTACATTTAAATGCAAAATTCATATTAGAAATGTAACTTGTTTTAATTTGGTACCTAAGAAACTCTTGTTGAATACATAATGAGAAGGGATTACAACTGCTTTTCTCACAAAAATTACATTTCTATAATGTTCAGTACTTTTGAAACATACGTTTTAAGAGAGATTCAGGTGGGGTTTGTTATAGAACTGCAGTACAAAAACATTTAGTCTTTAGAAATTGAAGGCTGATGAGTTGATGAACACTGATCTGATTTGTATGTTTTGGTCATGTTTTAGTTAATGACAATTTACTGAATAAACCACAATAGGCTAGCTTCACAGAACATGCAAAACTATAAACCAGTTTACAAATCAAAATTCTAGGTTCATATAAGAAAGCAAGACATAATGTGATGTGGTCAGGATAATTGTATATATTGTATGAATCCAGGTATTGTGGTTTATTCAATGTACTGTGGTTAAGTGAACAGTGGCTTAGAACAATGTGTGAACCTGATACTCCATTTGTCACCTAATTCATTCCCCAAAAGGAGGGATTTCTAAATAAGGGCTAGAAAATATAGCATGGGGCTTTAAGAAATGGAATGCAATTCACACCAAACATAAGCATTTTCCCCCTAGATGTCATGGAAGGCTCATTCTCAAGGAGAGATCACCCTCTGATAAAATGACAAGAGAAGCCAAAACATGCAGCTCAGCTGGAAACAAATTGGCAAGAATGAATCAACAGATTAGGAGTTAAACAAACTTAAGACTAGAATTGAAAAAGTGGGTGAAAGGTTATATGTACAACTTACACAATTGTTTCAGGAACATAACAGGTTATATTTTAAAAGTTGTTAGAGTCAATAAAACTTTGCCAATAAAACACCAATTATAACAGGCTTTTAGAAAGTCAGACAAGGGGCAAATAAACTTCTGTCAAACCTGTGACTGGTGAGGACACTCTTTATGTCTGAAGCTATTATTTTAATAGCTTCAGAGCTATTTATTAGTTTGTAATCTTAACCACTGAGGATTAATTAGTAGTGTCCATTATTGTTTTATTATATTTTACATTGTTTCTCTTTTTGTCTTTTTGTGTGAAGTCAGAACCACGTAAAGAGATTTTAGAAAATTGAACAAAATAGTTTTATTAATTAAAAGCAAAAATACTGTTTGGCAGGAAGAAAAATGGTGCCATAATGTACATGTACACATATGTACACGTACATACACACATCAAATCCTACCTATTAGTTATTGAAATTGTGAGTCGTTCATATCTCAGCCCATCATCTATATACTACTAAAACTTTTGTATCCATTTGATTGTGTGCAAACCTTCAATTCAGTGAAATTGTGTGCTATAAGGAGCACTTTTTTAATCAATATGCCTCAAATTGTCTAACACAGAATGTGAAAATAATCACCCAGCTGGTCATGGGTTGTCTCGTATTCAATAAAGCTGAGATACCCAGCATCTGATCTTTAAAAATAAATAGGTTGACACATCTTCTACATCTAATGGAATACCTAACTGACTGTGGAGCATTTTGGAACTAATTCAGAAAAAACAGTGCACAAACATAGCACTTGTTTGTAATTCTTTAAAGAGCTGAATTCTTCCTCTTTGCAGCTGCCACTTGATTCTGGCAAAAGATACAGCTCTTTAAAGAGCAGCAAACAGGCATTACATTCATCTCCCGTGTACAACAAAGCTTCTGACTGCCCCAATACATAATATTTAGATTTTTATCCGATCCTCATCACTTTATAAGTAACTTAAGGCGGTGAACATACCTAATACTCTTTCCTCACCCTATTTTCCCCACAACAACTCTGTGAAGTGGGTTGGGCTGAGAGCATGAGAGCCACATCTGGCTCTCATGCTTTAAGCAATACTAGAACTCCCATAGTCTTCTAGTTTCTGGGCCAGCATCTTAATCACTATACAAACTGGCTCTCTGCAATTTAGGGGCTCACATAGACTGAAAGTTGAGCTTACTAATTGGTAACCATAAATGGGATTACAGCCTAAAAGGATTATTTTGATAAAGGAAGGTGAAATATTTAATCTCAGATTTAAATCTACATTCAGGGTGGAGTTGTGGCAATTCTATGAAGTATTCAATCTGTGCAACTTCCTGGAGAAATGTATGCAACAAGGCTTGTTTGAACATTACCTGAAATTCTAAACAAAAATAAAGGCTTCAAAAATGTGGGCCAGATGTTGAATGTAACAATTAATACTGTGAGTCTCTATAAGTGAAAAGGCTGGGGGGGAGCTTTAGTTTTTTAACTGGAATTTGTCAAAAATATGTTCACAAAAAGATAGAAACATTATAATTAAGTGGCTGCTGTTATCAGATTAATTTTAAAAATACTGTACTTTAATAATAGTTATTGAATTTCATCTGTCCAAAGTAATTTCTTCTGAGCAATCGTCCCAGGCAAGTGAAATATGACAAAGAACTATATTTTCATTGTCGCAGAATCACTATTTTCTTTAAAAATATCTATGAATAATCAGTTACTCTACTAATAATTGGAAGTTTAATGCATTCACTGAAATCTAGTATTTATCTAGTAGCCTTCATTTCCAAACACCCATCAAGGGAGAAAGGCGTGTGTTTGTGTAATCTTGACCTTAGTTATCTTGAAGTTCCAGACAAACTACTAATACAACCTTTTAATTATTTATTTGTTTATTTTTATTTGTCAACAAGTACAAAGAAACAAGTATGAAAACATGAAAAAATGGCACAAATAAATGGATATAAATAAGCAAAACATAGCCATATACACATAAAAAGAGTACATATAAATGGGACAGTAGGACAAGGTTGATAGGCATGCAGGTGCGTTTATGCACGCCCCCTTAGGGACCTCTTAAGAAACGCGTAAGGTCCACAATAGACAGCTTAAGGTAAAAGGGATGGGGGTTAGAAGAACTAACAACAGGATCAGGTAGGGTGTTCCACACATTTACTACTCTATTGCTGAAATCGTTTTTCCTGCAATCAAAATTAGAATGGATTATATTTAGCTTGTATCTATCGATAGCCCTTGCATTATTGCAGTTGAAGTAAAAGTTGTGGGAGGTTTTCAAGAAAAAGATTAGACAACAATTTTTCCAGGATGGTATAGGGATTCCTCCCTGAGCAAGGGGTGGGACTAGAAGACCTCCAAGGTCCCTTCCAGTTCTATGATTTTAACTCCCACCCCCTGGGTCTCACCCGGGGAAGAGGGCATGCCAAAGGTTTGCCCTGTGCTGAATGCTCATGCACCCTCCCACCAGAATCTGTTGAGATCTGCACTTGGAATCTGTACAGCAATCCTTCTGCCTCCTCCTCCTTTTCAACTTCCCTTTGGGCCAGGGGAGTCTCTACCTCCTCCTATCCCTAGGCAGGAGGGCTTCTGAGTCAACACCAATGGTGGGATACAACCGGTACGCCCCAGTACAGGCATACCGGTGCCTGCTGGGAGCACCAGGTACCGTTCTGGTATAGTGCTCCGGAGGGCCCACCCACCCACGCTCCTTACCTGTATTTGAGCTGATCATGGCTTATGTGCATGGAGCGTATGGTGCCTGCATGA